TTGAAATACATTGTTATCTTCCGTTATTGATCCCAAAATTTTTCATTTCATATTTGTTTTCATCTTAAATTGGAGATCTCAATACTGATTGGGCTTGCACGCACCAATAATGGGTTACGACATAGTGAAAATCGTTTTACATTTTGATGGCTCTTTCAATAGGAATTCTAATAATGGACATATTTTCTATGATGATAGGGACCTGAAGGTTATATTTTTTAGGGGGATCTCATCCTTCGATCAAGTAAATGATCACTTATCAAAAGTAAAAAATTATGCCCCAAATATTCTTATCATTCTATTTTCATCATGATAACCTCGAGGTGTGAATCTGAAGGGAAGTTTTCTTAATGGATTATAGATTAAGGGCATAATCTTTATCCTGTACCACTCAATATATTATTGTGTCGGCTTCACATAGAACATGTTATCTGCTACCTAACACATATATTCTAGCATGTTCATCCACATATCTATATGAGGTTGAAGATTGTCTCCCCAGTTCTTAAGCTTCTTCCCCTTTCTCTCCTTCCTCTCCTATTGCAAGGGATTAGTTGGTGTCCCTTGGTGAAGTCTAAACTACCGGAGCACACGATCTAGCATGTACCCCTCACAAAAGTGTCCACATATGAAATATGTACAGACACAAAACAGTCTAACAAATAAGAATGCCATAATCTTTGTCCTGCTCGGTTTCTCCTCCTATATCAGGAAATTGTCGTAAGGGGTCCATATGACAAAAAAATAAAAAATAAAAATCAATAAATAAATAAATATAATAATAATAATAAATAAATAATAACCTACACAAAAAAACTATTAAAATATAAATAAACAAAGTCAATGAAAACTATTAAATATTAGTATCATTTATTCAAACGCTATCAGTCTCATGTTGATCCACGAGAGGAAAGTTGTGAGAGTTATCTCATTCTCTAGGAAAGATCCACCTAATGGATCTAGGTTATCCTGCCTTTATTTCTCTGGGAATTGGGCGCAACAATTTAAATGCTTGTATGCCCAGCACTGAAATGCATGTATAAAAAATAATTATTACAATTAAATATGTATCAAAACTTTTAAAAAACTATCAAAACATTAACGTACTAGCATTACTAGTAAAATAGTAGTCGATCCACTTAGGTGTTGGTGATCAAGATGAACAACTTTTGACAAGGCTTGGAACAAAAAAGCTAGGGCAGTTGCACCCCATGCATACTGACCAGCTACATCCATAACCTCAAAAAGTTGTAAATATATTGTAGCACCATACCATATGTGGAATCCATAAAAGATTGTGTAGCCAACTAGATATAGGAAGTAGGCACATGTGTGTCGTAACAGGGTGATCTGGTTATAGTTATGTGACAACTATTTAAATGTGTTCCTTAACTATGTCAGCTGGATAATATAATGGTTCGTACTTTGTGGCAGTTGTCCTATCATGCGGACTATATAATCCCCATACTTCTTCATTCTCTTAAGCGTTATAGTTGCATTACACTCATAATCAGAGAATTTTTCATGCATATTCAAGAGTCGGCATTATCTCTCCAATGTCTATATTGAAGTGCCATGTGTTTGTCTCTGTGTGCCACCTCTCGATCATAGTAGACAATGTGTCACTCTTGTTGTGAGTCATCGCAACTATGGTCAGATGATACCATCTTGATCTCCTGACTAAATCAATTTGATCATTATATAATAAAGGCCATAAAGTAACTTCATTGGCATTATCATCAATCATGAGGGGATTTTTTTGATCCTGAAATGACATTTATGATTTCAAATATTAAAATAAATAAATTGATTAACTAACGTGATAAGCAAAGAATATAACTCGGAACATGTGTACATACATCTCATTCCCAAATGTTATGTGATATATGTTGTCTTTGTCTATTGAGCAATGTAGGAATCGTAGGATCTCTAGGGCAGGGTGCGCTTTCGTCCATGATCCATGTTCAAAAAGCCACAATCATTTATTTTCAATCAAAACACCACTTGGAAGTTTATGGTCAAGTTGGTGTGAAAAGAAAATGAAATAATACATAGCATGAGAAGGGGGGAAACAAATAACAATTTTAAAAAGACAATATGAAACCATCAATCATCCATCCAAAATCCATGTTTAATACCTATGATAAGCACTTACAACCATAATAAATAAAAGAAAAAAATCCACTAAACATGTCCATTATATTTCTTATAACATGGAAAATTCTTGACCCAAGGCAATTTGGTTAAAAAAACTTTGGGAAAATGACCTATACCCACATCCTCAAAATTTCCCATCTCTATGAGCCCTTTGGGTTCACCAAAATCACTTGTATCCCCTCAAATTTAAAATTTTGAGACCATTAACCCCCTAATTATGTTGTTCTTTGTTATTTTTAAAAATTTGATATTTTTATTTTACAAATGCAAAATCCGTCCATCAGTCAACTTCATTTCCTTTCTTTTCCGTTGCCTAAAACCAATCTTACATATGTAGACTCCACTCTATAAATTTAGGCATGAAAAAAAAAAATGATTTTTTTTTTAATATTATGATGTCTTTTTCAATTGCATCAATATATTTTGAACTAAGAAAATGATTAATCAAGATATTTAGTACTATTGTTAATGGATTATTATTATTTATTTATTCATTTAATTAAAAAAATTTCTTAAAATACTTATAAGAGATGAATTATTTAACAATTAATATATTATTGTTACTATTATTATAAAATTATTAATTATAATTGTTATTATTACTATTATTATCATTATCGTCAATAAAAATTGTATATCAAGTCACAAAAAAAAAAAAGTACGGATGACTAATGTATGGGTTTGGAATTTTGTGATAAAATTTGTAAACAGAACAAAGAAATACATAATTAGGGGGCAAATGATCCCAAAATTTTAAACTTGAGGGGGTACAAGAGATTTTGGTGATCCCAAGGGGCTAATAGGGATAGAAATTTTGGGGAGGCGGGGTAAATTCATTTTTCTAAAAACTTTCTACTTTGTGAAAATATGTTAGAAAACAGTTTGTCTTGAACTTAATTACAATAAAATTATATTGATACACTATAGAAAACATAAACAACACCTAAATGAAACATGCTCTATACAAAAGCTCTATACATGGTTGTCTTGAACTTTATACAAAAAATGGTTGTATGACTTCATCAATTTAAGTGTTATTTATGGCTTCATTTTCACTTAAAGATGTTTGAAAACAATTTGTCTTGAACTTAAATATAGATAAATTTGCAGGTTATGGGTATTTGAATTCTTAAGATTTTTTTTCCTTGAAAGAAGCTAGAAAACAGGATATTGAAGTTGATCACTTGCTCTAAGAAGTCAAGTATGTCCAAGTACTGTGGTTTCTGATTTCTGATTTCTGATTATGAGTTTATATTTTCTTTGAAGTTCTAGCTTGTGATATTGATCGGTGAAATAATGAAAACTCCTCTTTATTCTTTGTTTTTTCTAAATAAAATAAGCTTGGTTTTTTAAGTTTCTGATTTTGAGTTTGTGTTTTCTCTTTTTGTCTTTTTATTTTTCTAAACATAAATAATAGCTAATTTGCTACTTAAATCAAGTTCAAAACATTTAACCTATAATAGCAAATTTTGCTACCCAAACTAAAATCAAGTTCCCAAACCCCTAATCCCCATTGCATAACAATCATCAACAAAAAAATCAAATTGAATTGGTAATCAAAGCCATATCAACCCAAAACAGTACACAACACTCATTTCAACAATGCCAACACCAAAATCCCATTCCAAAACAAGCTGAAAAACGGTGGAAAACTCCATAAATTTACCCCAAATAAGAGAAAAAACCTAAAATTCGCAATGCTGAATTAAAAAAAAAGAATGAGGAAAAATATTTCTTACATCAAAGTAGAATCTAATGAGATAAGGGAAATGAGGGAGAAATATTCCAATGAGAGATTGAGCCTCGAGAAATTTTGAGCTAGAGCATAAGAACAAAGCCACCCTAAAATGGTAAAAACAAAACCGTAATGAAGATCGTAAGGGTTTATAAGACACGATAGTCTTATAGTAATTCGAGTACATTTTATCACTATATTTTAAGTGCCATATAAAATGTGGTATCCAATACGGTACTTAGAGTACCATAATAGGTGTTTTACGGTATTACGACTACCGTGAAGGTTATTTTGGTAAAAAAAATTGAATAAAAAGGGTGTGGACGAGATTTATGAAAGTTGTGGACTTTAAAGTATATTTTTTATAATTTTCCAACTTTTTATAATTTAAAATAATATAAAATTGACTAATACAATTTTTTTTTTAAAAAATATCTTATTATCCTCTATTTTTAACTTCTATATCTCATCAAAGTCAAGAATTGAAATATTATTTGTAAACAAAAAGGCTCCATCTTTTCTATCTTTCAACCCCTTAAATCCTTTTGACCGTGTATTATTGACTTCAACAACTTATAACATGATCATATATCTTTCTCTCTTACATCATCATCTCTTTCTCTCAAAACTTCATATCTCTCTAAAATCCAAACTCTATCTCTCTCTCAAAACTCCATCTCTCTCCCTAAAACTCAAACTCTATCTCTCTTTTTTCTAAAATTCCATCTTTCTCTAAAACCCAAACTCCATCTCTCTCGCACATATAAAAAGGTGTGCTCGTGTTCGAGCTCAAGCTAAATCTCTTGGTCGGTAAACTCATCAAGAAGTGAAGAGAGAGATAGAGTTTTAGAGAGAAATGAAGTTTGAATAATGTGCCATTTTAGTATTCGTTTGGATAAAAAATTTATGATCAAAAGGGTTAGGGGGTTGTAAGATAGAAAAGATGCAGGCTTAATACTTTCAATTTTTAGGTCTATTGAGATATGGAAGTTAAAAATAAAATATACGGTCGTATTTCTTTTTTTAACCAAAAAAAAAAGAAAAAAAAAAAAGAAGAAAAAACATGTTCCACCCGGCTATTATCCAAACACTCCCCAAATAACTCATTTCCAGAACCAAACATACTCATTGCGGTGCTCTCGCTTCTTCAAACAGTTTGTGCAAATCTTTCTCTCTCTCTCTCTTTCTCTCTCTCTCTCTTATGACTGTAACACCCAGCTCACTATCACTCAGAGCTCTGAAATGAAGAGACTCAATTGCTGGACTGACCCAACCCATTTCACAACTTCCCCTTCCTCCTCTCCTGCCTTCACTACTTCACTTTCTCTCTCTTTCTCACCCGACTCCATTAAACCAAAATCCTGTTTCCTTCCGCTTTTTCTCTCCTCCATTCCCATTAGCCCCAAGCTCTCGCTCTATCTTCCCAAAGCAAAGCCTGATGATTACACACCTGTAATCGAATATGGAGAAGGAGAAGAGGAGGATGATGATTATGAAGACTATTCATTTGAAAACAGTAGGGTGGGGAGACATGGTGAAGAAAAGGATTACGATCGAGACCCTGAGATCAAAGAGATTCTAACGGGCTTTATTGATGACCCCGAAAACTCAAAGAAGCAAGTAAGGATTTATCTTCTCGTGTTTTTTAATAATTTTTTTTTAAATGGTTGGTTTTTGTTTTGAGTTTTGAGTTTTGAGTTGGTGATGTTTCTGGCGAAATGGATTTCTTTGTTTTTTATCAAATTTTGAGTACTGGGGATTTTATGGTGAAATGGGTAGCTGGAGGAGAGAATAAAGAACAAAAGGAACAAAATTTTGCAGACCAAGGCTGGTTCTGCAGTTCCAATGAAGGTTATCTTTAACAAGTAAGGCAACCTCTCTCTTTCTATATATATCTTTCACAAGTAAGGGAACCTCTCCCTATATCTCTTTCTAGACTATTAACGAATTTTCTATTTGTTCAAATTCAGTATTTTTTTTGTGTTTTTCATTGTGTTTTTTTTTTTCCTTTTTGTGTTGCTTCTTTGGAGACTCACTTTTGTATGGTTGTGTTGACAGATTTGGTTTCTCCAACTCATACATATGGTTTGAATTCCATCGCCCCCCATTGAACAATGATGTTACTCTACTTTGTGATGTAAGCACCTGCATTGTGGATTTGATACAAGCTTTCTTTGTGAAATGTTTCAGTAGGTACTCTGTGTGTTTGATTCAAGATTTCTTTGTGAACATATTTCTGTAGTAATTGATAGAGAGCCTGTTAATTGATTGCTATGCTTTAAATGCAGGCAATTCGTGCATGGCACATTATCGGGCGTCTTGGAGGATGCAATTCTATGAATATGCAGGTATGAGTGCAATTTTGGATTCAATTAAATTAGAGAATGTGCTCAATATTAAATAAGATTTGGATGCTTAATATGCCACTAAGAGAAAACATAAGTGAATTCAGGGAAGAAACTACAACCAAAGCGCACCTGTTATAAGTACTCTCAGACTGTGATACTCCATTTTTATACAAGTTACTAGTTCCAACTTAATTATCAAATAGGAAGAATGTATGTCCATGATCCACAATTTTCCATAAGGTGATTGCTTTTTTGAGAAGAGTTAATTAGATCTTATTCATATATGTGGAAATTATGCCAATACTCAAAGGAAATAAGGTGATTGCTTTCATCTAAATGTGTCTCCTGCATTTTAATCTATTCACGATTGATAGGCACAAGAATCTAGGGTTTATCAGGAGCTAAAATCTCTGGCTCCTAAACAGTGAATTCCAAAACCTGGACTGAAAAAAAAGTAAAACTAGCTATGGTTTTCCTGGCATGTGAGATTCCGCATACGTTAGGACTTCTCTGGAATCAAGAGTGTAGGGATCCTGAATAGTACATTGGAAGACTTGAAACCCTAGAATTCAAGGATTTTTCTCATGTCAATTGGCTGCAAGTCGTTAAAGCTGCGTCTGAAAATTTATGTTAACGAACACTATAAATCTAGTGGTTTTTTGGGACCAAAACTTGTTAGGATTTGGGGTTCTTTGGTTTGGGAGGCTGGCAGGTATATACTGGCACATGCCAGAAAACAAAAAAAGTTATGTAGAATATATTAATTTTAGCCAGAGTAATATATCGTGGTTATTTCGGATATCTGAATAAAGGTGCTGCTCGTTTTTTATATATTTGGTTGATATATTACCTTGATATGTTTTTGCATACATTTGATTGCCTTTGCATAATTCATATTTTTAGTAGACTTTTGAATTTTTGATTGTTTGGTTGATAAATGCAAAATTTAGTGTTTTTTCTTATTAAGCATATATTTGTTTTTTACCTAGCTTGTCCTTTCTCTCACCATTAAAGATGAACACTAGACATAAAACGAAAAATCAAATATCAATAGGAATACATTGGAATCACATTGTTTGATCACCCACAGATATTAGTTCACCTTGCATTTCCACTTTCCTTTTATTTATTGGCAGAGAGAGAGAGAGAGAGAGAGAGAGAGAGAGAGAGAGAGAGAATACGAGGTCGCCACTACTCCATAAATACTGTGGGTCGCCACTATCCAAATACTGTTGGGTTGTTTTTTCTACTTACCAATTCATGTTGGTGTTCTAACTTTTCTTTTTTGGTAGCCCCTTCCCTCAACTGTAGCATGCTCCCTGCTCAAACTAAATGCAACCTTGAGCACCTTCAAAAGTTATGAACCAGCAATCAAAAGAAAAAAGGAACTATTAAACTAAAGTGCAATGCATAGAAACTACAAAGAATCTCATCATCTTCTATATCAGAAACAAACTGCCAAGACAGCCTATGAGGACATGAAGATGGTCTAAACTCTTAGGGGGTCACGAATGTCAACTCAAATGCTCCCCCTCTTTTGGAAGTGCAATACTGACTCCTATCTCTCAGGCAGAGGATAAGGGTTTGAGGAAACAGTCCAAATATTATAGTAATATCCTCAATGTTTCCAAGGAATGCAGAAATACCTGGATCCTAGAAAGGATTCAAGATACATCAGGGAGATCAAATACCTATGTCCTTCCAATAGACCTTGACCCATAACCAATAATCACTCTTTTTAATAACTTGTAATCAGATGTCAACAAAGAAGTAAACCCATAAAAAATGGATAAATTTTTATGTGGAAAGTTAATGAAGGCAATGCACAATCAACTAACAGGTAGAATACCAGCGCAATGTGACAATGGATTCTAATACAAGAGGACCCTGAGATCTATGAGGCAACCTGTTTTCTATAGATACTCAAAATTATTATTGCAACATAATCCCTGTAACTTAAACTGTTCTATTACACCAAAATAACCCCAAAATCCAAAACTGAAAACCTGACACTCCAACTTCAATCTCTGGTTGAAACTTGAAGTACACCTGAATTTACCTCCCAAACCATCATCTCGAGCCTTTGAACTCATTGGCTTGACCTAGACTAGACAAACCTAGGCCCTTGGGTACTTCGAAACCCATAAACCTACATAGTTTGCATGGAAACTATGGCCACAAAAAGGAATTGACCTGCACTTATCTCCTTCATTAAAAATTCTAAGCAAATAGCGGAACTTTCAATCCTTCACAATCAAAGCTCAATCCTCTCTCTCTTCCCCCCCAACTTGTTAGGTGAAGCAAGGGAGCTTCTTTAGGAGACAACCCACTTTGATTTCTCTAGCTAGGTTGGAATCAGAGACAAGAAGGACAATCCATGATGCAAATGTCAATTGAAATGAGAGCTATACCCAAGAAGGGGAGAGAGATGGAAACTATAAGGACCATGATGTGCATGAGTAAGAGAGAAGGCAGGTGGTTTTTATGGGGTTTGATGGGGGATTGGAAATGGCGATGGTGTGATGGGGCAAAGAGCTTCATGGCTTTGTGGTGATAGTGGTGGTTGCCAACTTGCCATCAAGCCGAGGCTTGCTTATTCCTTATGTGGTTGTCCATGCCTGATGCCCATTGGAACCATGCTGCAGATAATAAAAGCGCGGGATTCAGCAATCCAAAAAAGTAGAGACAGAGAGGGGCCATTGAGTGCTCTCTCTTTCTATCTAGAATGGATGATCTTGTTGTTTAGACTTATTGGGGGGGGAGGAAAGGAGACAGCAGCCCCTGTAAATTGGCATCCTCTGAGGAGAGAATTTTATGTGAAGTTTGCATCCTCTGAGGAGAGAGTTTTATTGTGAAGAATGAGGTCATTTCCAAACTTCTAAATAATTAGGGGATAGGGTTTTGGGGAGATGGGAGAGTGAGGGTGAGAGAGAACTGCGTCTCACAAAGGTTGTCTAGAGGGAGAAAGATTGGTAACATGGGAGGGGTTTCGTGGGTTACACGAGTGAGCATGAACCAAAAGGCGATAGAAGAATTGAATCCCGCAAAATTCAAGTCTGACTTGAATTTTGTGGGATTCAGATAATTAATGATAATATAGATTCTAAAGAGTATTGTTTTGTTCAATCAAACATGTCACAAGCCCTTTTAATATTTTTTGAGATCAAGATTTCATAGATTATGCAAAATCCTGAAATATCAGTCTATTGCAGGGTTCATCAAACTTACAATAAACGAGCTGCTTGTTCTGAACTATATTCTGTTCTCTTCCACTGTTTTGTTCCATCTTCATTCCATTTCAACATGGTGCTTGATGAAACCTGATGTTTAATTTCAAATGGGGCTTAATATATACTCCTCTGTAGTCCCAGGAGAAATTATATATTTTGATGCATCATATGGTTCTTAAATTGAATATCAGTTTCTTCAAACACACGTTCATGGAAAAGATGTTTCAGTTTCTTTGATTGCTAGCATGTACAACATCTTTATAATGCCTCTTATTTACAGTTGTCTCAATCAGCATCAGATAGAAGACTATCTTATGATGCTACTCAGGGAGCAAATGTGACACCAACGACATTTTATAATATTGGGGATCTAGAGATCCAACACAATCTAGCACGCATATGGTATGTCTCCTGAACTTGGCACTATTTTTCATTTTCCATTTTTGTATGTCTTGTTACTGCTTGTGTCTATAACATCATTAGTTATGAAGGCAACATCTTAGTTATGAAGGCTACCTTTCAGCAAATAATCTTGGGAAAACTGCTTACTGGAAATATCTTGACTTTTTGTTTTGTCTTTAATAGGGTGGATATCGGCACGAGCGAGCCATTGCTGCTTGACATGCTCATAAATGCTCTTTCCCATATCAGCTCTGAGTAAGATCTAAGCCTTCTTATGATTACGTGAAATATAAATGGTTATGGTGGATAGTTCTTTTTGTAAATTGTAGAATTAATGTCTGCATACGTCAGTAATAAATGGTATGCCTCGTCTTGGTTAATTATCGTTTACTGGCATTTTATGGATCAAAGAGGAACTGGCTAATAGTGTCTTTTAGATTACATTTTGTGTAAATGGTTGGTCGATGCCATGTAATAATGCATTCATCTACATCCTCATGCATGGAGGATATTGACTAAATATGTACATGGTATGCTTACTGAAGAGCGCACACATGTATAATGTGTATGTATGTGCACGTGCATATCTGTGTAATGTGTATGTATGTGCATGTGTATATCTTTGTGTATGCATATGAACAAATTTGAAATATCCCGAACCTTCATGACTCACTGATCCGACATGCTTGCCTTAGTACTTAATTCATTCCCCCAGGTCAACTCAACTGAAATTTATTGTAAAAAGAAAATGCCTGAATATTAAGAAAATTCTGTGTTTAGGGTAAGAATGTGGACAATTTATTTCAATTTGGAACAGGCAGATTTTCTATTTCAAGCATTGGCAGGGAGATGCTTTATTTCACAATGCTTGATTCTGGAAATAGAAGTTGAGTGGAACTTGGAAGGAGGGCAGTATTGGAAACTTCAATTTTGTCTCTTCAGCTCTTAAGCTTCCATTGGAAGAAGACATGCTAATATGTTTATCAGTTTTTTGACCGTTCTGACATGCTGGCAACCAAGGTTGACCGCACAAAATTTGATCTTCTCCATTTCTCTATCAGCTTATTACTTTGTGTACCAAATGCAATGTATGGGTGTCACTATTTTACTTGGTCACAGTCAAAAGTATGGATAAATCATGTTTCTGTATTTTACTCATGCATGGAAGAGGAGAGAACATGATTTTTTTTTTTTTAAATCTAATCAGGAAAGCACAAATGCAATAAAAATATTTATGGAACTTGTTCTGAGAAAAAAGAGTTGGTGAATCTGTGCTAATTGGCCTTTTCCACACAGTTATGTAGGAATCAAACAAGTAGTTTTTGGTGGGTCAGAATTTGAGGACTGGAAGGAAGGAATGACATCAGATGAAGCTGAATATAGCATGCACAAGATCTGAATGGCAGCTGGCATATAGAAGGCCATGTCTTCTGACAAGCTATCATCCCATTTCTCGAATCTACCATTCACAGAAGCCATGGTGTTTCTTATCATCTTGTGCTCTATGCTCTTGAAGTCCTAATTTAGTGTGTCTTATACAGCTATATATTACTTGCCATTTTTGCAACATTGATATGTTTATTTCCTGTTATTATGTAGTTAATCTATGCTGCAAGAAGAAAAGGAATTTATAATATGCAGTGCTGGATTTTGGGTTTGAGGAACTTGCGAAGCATTTGTTCTCCTGGATTTAATCTGCATCGTCCATCAGATTCAAGGCATTTTGTATCTTTGTATTAAGTTTTGTTCTCATGAGCTCAAGTAAATTATCACCTTGTGTACCTCTGAACTATATTCCACTTGAATTTAGTTATATTTTCTTGATGTTATCCTCTCTCTTTCTCTCTCTCTCTCTCTGTAACGATGGTTTGCATTTTGAAGGATAAGAGTCTTAAGGTGCAATGCTTCATGAGTCCTGAAATGAGCTCTCATAAACTGCACTCTCTCATCACCAGAAAAGCTATTCAATACTGGCAGTCGGTCACTTGGATGTTCTCGACTTATATTTGTAATTTTGTTTGTTTACTATTTAAGCCCCTTATTATGTTTTTTGTTTCAGTTTATTTTTACTGTTAATTTTTTTTTAGGAAATTCATGAAACTTTGGACCAAGTTCCAAAAATAATTGATGTTATTTGTTGTTATTACAGCCGTTAGATAACGGCTTAATGGCCATGACAAGGGATTTCCAATTTTCATATGAAAGACTGAAATGGTAATAATGCTGTCATTTGAAAACAACAGCTGCAATTTCTACCATACCAGTGTTTTCTACAGAAATAAAATTATAATATTTGATGTTCCATCCTCTGCTTATCCATTTTAGTGCCAAAAGTTTTCTATTTTTTTCCCTTTTTACCCTTTTGCCCCCTTTTTTTTTTTTTCTTTTCAATTGAAATGTCCACTTTTACTAGCCCTCTTTTCCTATGGACATGTATTAAACCTTAATTTAATATGACATTCATCATGACCAATATCAGGAAAAAAAACAAAAAAGGAAAAATTGAGTAGACATATAACCACTTGAAAATTGACAGTCCATATAATGTGTTACAGATGCACCATTTTAAGGCTTGGAGTCGTCTTTGTTTTCGACATATCCGAGATTTCAAGATCAAGATAATTAATTGGAGAGTTTTCTACTACTCAAACAACCTTTTTCGATGAGTTTTTGATGTGTGCCTGAATTCTGTAGTGTAAGATCGACACCTTACAATACAGTTGGAAGTAGAAGAAAAATAGAAATCGATTTAATAATGAAAAAAGAAGATTTAAAGGCTCGCAATACACGATGACAATAGATGGGGTTTGAATCTCACAGCAAAGTTTGGCGAATGGGGCTGGCATTTATTACTTATGGTGTACCTATATCAATTTCTATAGGATAAGTATAGAATGAGACTGGTTCATGGTCATTATCTTGACCATTGGATGGGTGTATTTATTTCATTGACTAAACTCAAAATTCTAAAATTTTTTTTTCAATCTTTGTGAAGCACCTAAGCTATTAAATTTTACATCAGATGGTCGTAAGTAATTGCGACCTCTTTGTACTAGAGATAAATGTTCTCATTGTAGATAATCTCATTTATATATCTTTTGCTTTTGCCTGATTCGTAATCCAGATCATTGATCTAGACAATCAGGATCGAAATTGGTAGGAGGGCGATCCACCACACTAAACCACTTTTTTTTAAAAATGCTAGTTTAAACAAATCCAGCTGAAATATTGCTTCAGCGAGGGACCAAATATTCAGCTTAGCATGAAAGAAAAAAAAGAAAAAAAGTCCTCCATATATTCACCACTTTACCTCTAAAACGGTGCCCATATCTGAACTACTAAGTAAATTACTCGAAAGAAAGCACAAATTTTCAATCTATCGGTTGAACAATAGGGTGGGAAGTGGGTCGGGTTGACCCATGGACCCAATAGGTCGACCTAACTAGGTCCAGGTTTGGACCCAAACAATAGACCCGACCTGTTGGATCATGGTCTAACTTGGATCCTATCAAGTTGGGTCGATTCCAAGTCGGGGTGAATCTACCTGACCCAACCCACTATATATTGATATAAAATACAAGTGAATAATATTAAGGGTGATGTTGAGGCTCTATACAAACTAAAGTAAAGTGCACCTTCAAATAGTGTCAAGAAATGTGGTTTCATTACTGAAAATCTTTGTGAAAGCCTTAAAATATATTTTTATCTTTAATTATAAAATTTAAAGCTTCAAAAATAGTGTAGATCGAGCAAAGCTATGAAAATTTGTAAATCTTCTCCAAAACATGCATGAGAAGATACACTATTTCCAAAACTTCGAATCCATGCATCTTGATGTCAAGATTATCAATTTGAGGATATTTGGGCATCAAAACAACACCTTTTAGTGACATTTTTGAAGTGGGCTCTAATTTGATTGTTTAGAGACTCGACTCTATATAAACTTTTTCCTAATATTAATTATATACTATAAAGTCTATAAATTATTTTTTAGAATTTTTTACTTATAGACCAGGACTCGGTGTACTTATCAAAACTTTACACCATAACTGATCCTTTAGATGAAAACTATACCACCACCACTTGCATAATAAAGCTTGATTCCCTAGAACAATCTTTCTAATCCCCAGACCACCTTCTTTTTTAGGAATGCACACCCTATTCAATCTAAGAAGATGAGATTTTATTTCCTCACCAAAGAATCCTCACATAAAGTTTCACATCATTTTCTCAATTAGCTTAATCACACAAACAACAAGTATTTAAACTTCCAAAGGTCTAGTTTAAATTGAACTTGTAGAATGATCTTGTCCCAAACCGAAACCGGTAACCTATCATTTGAGATGGATGAGCCAAGATAGGTGATGAGGAAGACATCCACTTTGCAACCTAAGCACTCTGCTAAATCCTTTATCAAAGCTTCATTACAATTCACTCATATCAAAAAGGTTTTTGTAAATTTAACTTTCAATCTAATAGCCACTTCACAATATGTCAAAAACCTACCATTGTTGTTAACTTGCTCTAAGTCCACACTATAAAAATTGAGGGTATCATTTGCATATTGTAAATGGGATAGCACCAAACCCTTTCCACCAACATTGAAGCTAAACAAACTCCCCATTTGCTGCACATTTTTAAGCATAGGACTAAAACATTCTGCATAAAGAGTAAAGAGAAAAAGGGATAGGGATCGCCCTGACGAAGACCCTTAGAAGCATTGAAGAAACTTTTTAGGCTTCCATTCACTGGAATAGAAAAGTGAGCCCGATGATAGACATCCAAAAATCCAGTTTCTCCACTAGTACCAAAGCCCATTTTGTTCATAACTTCCAAAAGAATACTCCTCTCAACTCTATCATATGTTTTTTCCATATCCAATTTTACGACAATTGTTGGCTCTTTAGTTTGGACTCTAGAATGAATGCACTCCTGAGCCACAAGAATGCTATGGGTGATCAAACGATATTGGATAAAAGCTGTCTGAGGACCGACAACTACCATAGACAGAACCTTCTTGAGACGTTTTGCCAAAACTTTAGTAATAATTTTGTATAGGCTAGTTAACAAACTTATTGGTATGATATCCAACAATCCAGCAATAACAGTCTTCTTCGGGATCAAAGCAATATATGTCGAGTTAAAACCTTTAAACAACTCACATCATATCATAAACCCTTTCACCATCTCTAGCAACTCCCTTGACACTAAGGACTAGAATTTGTGAGAGAAAAATAACGTAAACTCATCTGGTCCAGGTGCTTTGTCCTCAGAAAGAGAGAAAATTGCTTTTTAGTTATTCAAAAGTAACTTCCACCTCTGATTGATTGGCCAACTTAGAAGACAACTTTAAAAGGAATGCGCTCCATCCTAGGAGTAAACCGCACCTTAGAGGTAAAGGCTTTTTTGAAATGGTATAAAATGGCTTGATCTATTTCATCCCAATCATCGACATCAACACCCGGGACTGACATCCCAGATATATCATTGTGTCTCCTACGGGAACTTGTTATGGTATGAAAAAATTTTGTATTGAGATCCTCTCCTTTCAACCACTTCACCCTAGACCTCTGTTTCCAATAAATATTTTTCAATCTCTAATATTTGTGCAAAGAGTTCAGCTTATCATTCTTATCATTAAGAAGAGCTTTAGTTAAAACCCTCTTTGCCTGAATATATCGATCGATGAGTTGGATATCCAGCAAAACACTATTAATTTTGGCTCTCAATTGGTATGAATGTTCTCTTTTCCAAGCTATCAACTTATGCTTCACATTAATCAGCTTTTTATGAAGCAGAAAATCTAGAGAGCCAGAGGTAATAGTATTCTCCCGAGTACTTCTAATGATATCTACCACTCCCTCTGCTTCCAACCAAGCAATCTCCATCCTAAAGGGTTTGGGTCATCCCAAAGAAGTGCCATTAGAATTCACCCTTTAAGCCCTTACAAATTGCAACATGAAAAGCTAAAACTAAATATGTAAAAAAGAACGAAAGAAAAATCCCAAAAATATTAGGGTTTTTCCTTATTTTATATTGGGTGCGGTTTGTATAGAGCCTAGGTTCTAAACAATCAAATTAAAGCCTGCCTTCAAATAGTATCAAGAAATATGGTTTCAATAGTGAAAATCTTTTTGATAGCCTTAAAATATATTTTCATCTTTATTTATAAAGTTTAAAGCTTAAAAAATAATGTAGATCGAGAGATCCATGAAAACTTGAAAATCTTAAAATTTGACGGTCCAAAACTGCTACAAAATACACTATTTCCAAAGCTTGAAATCCATTTTTTTTTATCATGTTCATGGATCTTGATATCGAGACGATGAATTTGAAGGTATTTGGACATCAAAACAATATCTTCTAGTGAAAATTTTTCGGTAGGCTCGAATTTGATTGTTTAGAGCCTAGGCTCTATATAAACTTTTCCCTTTTATATTTTTGGGTAAGTTTCTTTGTTCAAATCCCGTGTGAGTTCTTTTTTTGTTTGAGTAACATGATATATATATATATATAAAGCATTAATATCGTGCAACAAAGTCTACTGCTCATGATGGTAGTGATGCTTTATTTCTCAAGTTGTCCACAGTTCAAGTCCTGCCTTGGTATGATCTCTTTTGGCCGGTTCACCAGTTCATCGATGGTTCAAGGTCCTTCTTGGATCATTGACCGAACAAGACCGGTCTTGGCACTGGTTCACCGGTTGAACCGGCTGGTCCAATGCGGTTCTCACATCATTGCTTCTAACTCCTCGAAAAGGAAGATAATCACAAATTCTCAAAAAGGATGCCTCCAATGATGATGTCCAAGTATGTGCCAGAAGT